AAAAAGGAAGTTTCAATTTTGATTATAAACAAGTTTTCTTCTACTAACATTTCTACTTAAAAGTTAATATGGTAGAACGATTATATTAACAAGTAAATGTTCCAAATATTTTGCTCTAAAAATATATCTATCCAATGCATCTCATAAGCGTTTATCTTTATTTTTTTTTACTTGGACGGATCCTTTACATACATAGCACCACAAATGAGCAGGGGAGTGATTTATTCACTAAATTATGGATAGTAATTAGATGTTTGATCATTAATATTTATATTTTCGTAGAGAACTCATAAAAAGTTGACATTTAGACTCCGCCCATATCTCTTAAATTTACGGCATCCCACCTCGACTTATTTGACCCTCCTGCCACTGTTATTTATGTGGTATCCCAAGATCGAATTCCTCTCGGGAATACACAGTCAAATTTGTGTATTTGTTGTCTATGATAGATACYTGAAGAAAGGAAGAAAGAAGTCGCTTTTCTAGAATTAAAAATTTATCATCCGTCTCAACAAAGAAATATTTTCCAATCCTCTTCGGAATCAATATTACTAGCTGCCATAAAGAGCTCAAGAGACTCATATTAGTTCAAAGGCTCCAGACCAAGGAATGTAGTTGCTATGTCACCAATTTATTTTTTTTTTGAGAAAAAAAAATCTATTTTCTACCTTTCTTTAATCTACTTGTAAAAAAAAATTAATGGTGTTCTCTACAAAGACATATGTTGACAAGTAAGCATCAAAATATCGTCATAAAATTATTGGAAAAATACTTAGGTCCTGTACCGACTTATTTTTATTCTCGTCACAATTGAAAAATTGACATCTCGTTATTATTGTTTTTTAATATTTTGTTTTTACATTTCTCTCTTTTAATTACCAAATTTTAAACTATCTTGGATAGGTCTACGCCAATTAGGATTTAAGCACGATTTCATTCGATAATTTATCCACGAGAATAAAATTTATTTATTTATTTATTTAAAAAACGCAACCAATAAAAAGTTACCCCGGGCCTCTCAATCCGAGGCAGGGTCATTTTCCATCACACAGGCGCAGAAAGCATCTGACTGGAGCGTCAGGAAGCGCGTGAAACGTGGAGCGCGTGATGAAAGATGAGTGATGCTACGTTTGCTTTTTTTACTTACTCCCTCCCACTGACCCGAATCCATAACATAACAGACTTTTGAAGAGACGAAGCCGAAGAGAGAGAAACTCGGGAACTGAGCTCACAAACCATCTCAAGAACAACAAGAAGAAGCACCACCACCACCACCCACCATTTTTAACTTCACCTCCTGAACTAGGGTTTCCATTTCCAAATGTTCGAAGCAAATTAGGATAACTACAGCTGAGAAATCTCCATTTTCTGGTAAGAACAGTTCTCGGTTTTCTTTTTACTCCCACATTCTGCTTCGTTAAACGCTGTTGCGGAAGATCTGATTTCTCTTGGCGCAATGTTATGTGTTTTGGAAGTGAACACCGTGTTTGATTTCCTGGAAGTTTTGCTTGTTTTTCTTGTAACTCTCTCTTTCCGGAAGCGTTTTCTTCTTCGCTGGTGAGTTTGGTGTTGTGCTTTGTGCTTACTGTTTCTTTGTGCGGCGAGTGTTTTATCTTCTCAGATCTGTGAGTTTGATGTGCTTGAAATGAAGCTTCAGAGCTCTCTTTTCGTTTGCAACTGCGCCAGCTCCGAAAGCCTCTTTTCACCATTCTCCATTAACGTTTTGCTTCTTCCTAGGATGTGTGTTTTTCTTTAAATTTACTTTTTGAACCTTTTAGGATCCACCATTGAGTGCATTGCTTTTTAGTTTGCTTAATTTGATGCAAAATAGTATTTATTGGAAGGAAGCGACATTAAGAGAGAGAAATACTGCTTTTCTTTTAATCAAATACGTTTCCAAAAACGAGCATATATGTTTGTCTTTTTTCCATTTTGGGTGAAACTGGAATTAACTTACACAAATAAATGCTAATCTTCCTCTGAAAAACTGTGTAAAATACACCTTAAACACAGAATTTCATGTGATAATACTTTGAATGAATTTCAGGGGCCCATCTGGGCTAGAGTAGTGCGTTCTAATAGGGGTCATTGTTGGGCAAAAAGGAGGGGCAAAAGGGAAAAAGGAAATGGTAAAAGTCTGAAGTGTGTTTTTGCATAATGATAAATATAGCCTTCTATTTCTTACAGTTTCCCTTTTTTTTCCCTAAGCAAAAATTAAAATTATGTTATGATTTGGCTTTTGTTGGTTTGGTTGTAGTGGGGTTAGTTTTTTGGAGTTTCTTTGAAGTGATTGTATTCTGTGTTGTCTTTTTTGTTAAGTTTGGTAGTGATGTTGATTTATGGTAGTGAGGTTGCTATCTCTTGCGAATGGTTTTTGTACAAACATATATTGGCTTCCCTTTTCTGTTTATTTCTCAGTCAAGATTCTCTCGGCTGTTTCAGGTACTGTGGGTCAGAGAACTCTAGAACTCAATTATTTTACCTGTTTGATTCTTTTTCTAAAGGAAACACACAAGCATGCAGACACCGAAAGCGAAGTAAGATTAGCGTTTAGTTTTTGAATTTCTTATTGTTTTGCCTCCTCTGTTAGCTTAATTGGACGGTTTTCTTTTGTTGCTGTTTTTGGCTTCCCCCAAAGCAGAGCAGAAGTTCCCACTTTTCATTCATGAATTCTGCTTGTTTTTACTGTAATCTGTATTATTAATGTTTCTTTCAAAAAAAAAAAAATTTGTCCAATATGCAAGTCTTGGACTCTCTTAAGGGTGCAGCTTATGACATTTTCGCCTCTAGGCCATCTACATGTATTTTGCAATACCAAATTGCCAATGTACTTGGATGGTAATTCTCAGTTTTGACTTTTGATGTTGGTAATTGAAAAAAGAGGGAAAATGAAAAAGGAAGAAGAAGAAGAAGAAGAAGAAGACGACTATTGGCAAATAGGTAAATTAAAGTAGTATAGTGGAAAACTGGAAATGAAAATGGAATGTAGTTGGCAAGGTAGTCCTTATACATCATAGTTTGGAGGAAAAGAGATCGTTGAACCTTATGATTGTGAATGATCTTGCTTATATATCTAATAATAGTGCATCATTATATGTATATGCATCAAACAGGAAATAATTTTCTTTCCTTGGGAATTTAATCAACTCAGTGGTGAAGATTGATCTGAGATTGGTATTTTCTCAATTACAAGTCAAGCTAGCTATAAACACAGAATACACAGACGGTTATCATTTGTTAATCTACTGTAGTTTACCCACATATGATTTGTGTTTCACTGTTGTCCTTTCTGATGAAAGATCTAAAGTTCAAAGGCATCTAGTGCTCCAGGTCAGTAGTTAAATTATACTATGGCCAGATCTTTGAAGTTGTTTTAATTGGATTGCAGAACTGGCTCCTCTGAAGTACCTCAAAAGAAATCCCCTCGAACACCTCGAACTGCTCGTCAACTTAAGGTGCCAAGCTCGAATCCTGAGTCCATTTCCACTTCTCCTCTTGCTGCTAGCAAGACACCTAAAGAGAGAAGTCCTAGGGTGACTGACCGTAAATCACCGCGATGTCTGGCCACTGAGGTACTTGTTTTACAGTTTATGACTGACGAATGAGGTTCTATATTCTACCCCTTTTCAATAGATTGGTTGGATAGAGTTCTTTTTCCCACTTCGTTTGAATAGATTGGTTGTTTTCCTTCAATATTCAGAGTAAAGGACCTAGCAAAGTGGCTGAATTGGAATCGCAGCTTTCTAAACTCCAGGAGGAACTGAAGAAGGCAAGTGACCAACTGAGCGCATCTGAATCACACAAGAGGGAAGCCCAACAGGAGGCAGAAGAAGCAAAGAAACAGCTATCAGAAATGTCTGCAAAGCTTGAAGAATCCCAGCAGCAGGTGTTGGAGCTCTCTGCCTCCGAGGAAGATCGCGTTCAAGAACTGCATAAAATTTCTCAAGACCGCGATCAAGCCTGGCAGTCTGAGCTTGAGGCCGTGCAGAAGCAGCACACGATGGATGCTGCTGCATTGGCCTCTGCCATGAATGAAGTCCAGAGGCTCAAGGCCCAGTTGGAGATGGTATCTGAATCTGAGGCAACCCGGAGTAATCTTGCAGAGTCTGCACAAGGCGAGATTGAGTATTTGAGAACACAACTCTCGGAGACTGTCTTCCTAGTCGAAAAACTGAAAGATGAGCTGAGTTACTGCAAAGAATCTGAAGCTCAAGCCCTTGAAGTTGCAAGGAAAAACCAAAATCAATTTGAAACAGCCAAGGCGGCTGTGGAAAAGCTCCAATCAGATGGAATGAAAGCTATTGAGTCTTACAACTCTTTATCGGTGGAGTTGGAGCAATCAAAAGCTCAGATTCAATCATTGGAGGGACAGATCAGCATGATTCAGAAAGGTCTGGTTGATCCTATGGGCAATGATTTGGATCCCGCTGTCAATGCAAAACCTGCTGAGGAAAACCAAGGAAGTGATGAAATCAATCAGCTAAAAACCGAGCTTACCGCCATGAAAATGGAAGCAGATAAATCAAAATCTGCATTAGATGCAGCTGAGACAAGGTACGAGGAGGAATATGTTCGTACAGCATTGCAAATTAGAATTGCTCATGAGCTTGTGGAACAAATGAAAGTAGAGTCATGTCGTAAAGAGGCAGAATTGGATGCAGAACTTAAGCAGGCCAGAGCGAATATCGAACAATTGAGAGTAGACCTTAATGAAAAGGAAACTCAATTGTGTAGTGTTGTGGAGGAGAACAAGGCACTTAACTCAGAGACAAGCAAAAGCACATCGGTCGACAGAGAGTCGAAACTTGCAACAGAACTAAAGAGGTTGGAGGCTGATATGATGGAGTTGAAGACTAGACTGTTGGATAAGGAGACAGAATTGCAGAGTACAGCTGAGGAAAACGAAGCACTTAAGAAGGAAATCGAAAAGATGGAAATGCAAACCAGTAAGATTAACGACGACGCAGTCGCTTTGGCAGAAACAACCAAGGCTGCAGAAGAGGAAGCTTTGATGAAACTGGGGCATGCAACAGAAGAGGCAGATAAAAGCAGCCGAAGAGCGGCCCGAGTTGCCGAGCAGTTGGATGCTGCACAGGCTGCAAATTCTGAAATGGAGGCCGAGTTGAGGAGGCTAAAGGTGCAAGCAGACCAGTGGAGGAAAGCAGCCGAGGCTGCAGCTGCAATTCTCTCAACTGGGAACAATGGGAAGTTTGTTGATAGAATAGTTTCTTTGGAGAACAATTATCCTCTGGGCTCACCATACTCGGAAGATCTCGACGACGAATCGCCAAAGAAGAAGAACGGAAACATGTTGAAGAAGATAGGAGTTTTGTGGAAGAAGAACCAGAAATAAGTGGCTACTGAATGAACTACTGAAGATTATTGTACGAATGTCTGTTAGTAGAATGTTTTATGGTATCTGCTATTTAGTTTCCAATGCCTTTTGATTTGTTTTTATGTTTGAAGACTCGGCTCTGGACAATCTTGATAATGATATCATCTGTATCTGATATATGCAGTGTATAACTTTTTTCAATATCCTTTTTGTTCATAAAATTTGTACGGAAGATAAATCTTTATTCTATCTTTAGGGAAAAAGAAAAAAAAAAGGGAAAAAAATAATCACTTTTGATTTTCAATTAACAGGAGCTCAACAAAAGGCTTGACCAAATGTACTTGGACTAAATATTTACCCTCGGTTTTCATTCTACGATATCAGGCAACGGGGTAGATTTGGGAATTACTGAAAGGAAATTTTCTGCTTTTTTAATTGTTCTGTTGAAAAAATGTAACTCATATTACATCTCCAAGGCTTATCTATTAGTTGCATTGGGTCATTGGGTCTGCTGCTCAGTTAAAAACTATCAAATAAATATGCAGTCGGTCAACCTATTAAAAATCATTGAGGATATGAACAAAGTCACAAAGATAGGGTTGAGGCGAGATGTCATCAAAATTAAATAAAAATAATAAAAATATCTACCTCCAAGTCCAATCCATCCCGTCCCCACGCAACGGAATTCTGGATTCGAAATTTTTGTGACGTCACAGTTAAGGGCAGCTGAGCAATTTTCTATAAACGAGGGGCAACTTTGTATAAATATGATCATATAGAGGGCAGCTGCGTAAAAAGTTAATTTAAAATTCCCATTATTTGGGCTCAAATTTTCAATAAAGGGCCCAAAGAGTTTAATGGGCCGCCAATGCAACTATCGACCCAAATAATGTCCTCTATATATTAGCGCTCACTCGCGAAGCGGGTTTCTCCTTCAAGCCTAGGGTTTTTGTTGAGCGGCTCCTCCTTTTCCAACTTCCGAAGCCCCCGCCGAAGTCGAAGAACCCGTTCTCTCTGCAAACATGGGGTAAGATAGCTCGCTTTGATCGGTTTTTGTAAGGATTTTGTGAGAATAATCTGAGGAAGCGATATTGTGAAGGGATATTTGCTTTGTGATAGAGTTATGCGATTTCTACTCGCTGGATCCGCTTGCTTCACTATAAGCGAACATTCGTTTTTAGTATGAATGGATTGAGTTGGAAACTGGATATGATTTTTTGTTCTAATGAGTTTGATTCTTTTGTGGATTGTTTGAACTAGCATTTAATGTAAATGGTTTTAGAACGAGCAAGCGATTCTTAGGAGGTTTTATCCTTTAAGTTTAAATGAATGCTTCTTATAATTTGTCACCTGATTTGCAATTACCAGTAGATTTTTCTAATGCCTGAGAATTTGGATGAGCAAAAATGAGTAAGGAGTTGTGTTCTGGCTATATTTTTATCATGTTGGAAAACTTCAGACGAAGATCAGATTTTGATATTCTACATGGGTTTGATTTATTGATTTCTGTTTTGATGACATAATCCGACAGGAAGACACGTGGTATGGGAGCTGGTCGCAAGCTCAAATCCCACCGTAGAAGGCAAAGGTGGGCTGACAAGGCTTATAAGAAGTCTCACCTTGGTAATGAATGGAAGAAGCCATTTGCCGGTTCTTCTCATGCAAAAGGAATTGTTTTGGAAAAGATGTAAGTCGTAAGCATACCATTTTTTTCTTCAGATAATTTGTTTTAACCCTCTTCATCCCATTCCTTACATTTGTTTGCAATGTATGATTTTTTTTTGTAACTTATATTCACCCATTTGATTATTTTGAGAGCCTTAGCGTTGACATAGTGGATTCGATTCAGTAATAGTTATCTGATTAATTTTATTTTTGTTAAATTCGATAAATAGAGATCCAAAGTCATCCAATTGATGATTGTATGCAGATTCTCATGTCCGAAATAGCACACTATCCTGTTCATTATCATCACCTTAATTGTAGATCAGTTTGTTCATACATATTGTTTAAATGAACTGCTCATTAAAATTTGTATGAAAGATTTGAACGTTCTTTTGCCATGTTTGAACGTTTGGTGTCTAAACGAGCAATGTTAATCTGATTTCAGTGGTATTGAGGCTAAGCAGCCAAATTCTGCCATCAGAAAATGTGCTAGGGTTCAACTGATCAAAAATGGAAAGAAAATTGCCGCATTTGTGCCTAATGAGATATATGGTTGTCTTAACCAAATTGAGGAGAATGATGAAGTATTGATTGCCGGATTCGGTCGTAAAGGACATGCCGTCGGAGATATTCCTGGTGTTAGATTCAAGGTTGTGAAGGTTTCCGGGGTGTCTCTCCTTGCACTATTCAAGGAAAAGAAGGAGAAGCCAAGGTCTTAAGTTTGGGCAGAGTTTATTATCTTCTTACAGTTTTCTATCGATAATTTTAGAGTATTTTCAGATCTTGATTGCTTGTTTTGGACTATCATGTAGTTATTGCAACCTTTTTGCAGTCTGTTTTTGACATTTTAGAATTCCCTACCATTTTGCTCTCAGAAACTATTCGACCGTTTATTATAATATCAAACAACCATGTTGAGCTTTGATTTAATCATCTATTAATTGGCATGGCTTATGGAATATTTTTCTTGTTCAAATACATGAAAAATATTTTCAAAATTGAGATTGGCGTTCATGTTTGTAATTAAGATTCTCCATCTCACTAGAAATTCCCTGATATTCAGTTTTATTATTATTTTTTTTTGGAAGAGTATTATTTTGCAGTCAGAACATGCATTAATGTAGTCATAACATGCAATGAGTCAACTTACTCCATATAACGATGAAGTTTTTATACATTGAACAGTAGAGAAAAAAGGTTTCGGTTACGTAATGAAGAATTATATAATATCCAAATGGAGATTGACGATCTTAGAATGACTTTAGATGAGAAATCTATGTTCAATTCTGTCCCTAATATAATCAAGATATTAATTTGAAAAGGATTATCCTGAGTCATGTTTATCAGACAAAGTATATTTCATTACTATACAAGTTAAGCTCGTGTCAAATAAATGAAACTAGAGATTTGGAAATATGGTCCTCCAACTCTCTGTCTTATACTCCAATTTCATATATATATATATATATATATATAAAAGTTTTCTTTTTCTGTTAGAGTACGAGAAGTGGGGATGAGGGATTTGAACTGGTCAGAGACATCATCGTTGAACTATACTTATATTACATTTCCTCCACACCTTCCGAGTTGGAGCTGTTAGCATTGGAGAGGCTGAGCTCTGGTAAACACAAAAACTCCGCCACCACCCACTGAACGACCCAAAAGCATATTTCCGTCCAAATATGAGAGGTAATACAGTCCTCCAACTCCACGCCTTCTGCTTCTGCAAGTCCAAACCATACTTCATTAGAATCATCATCTAATTGCATGCACCAAATTTAAACATTCTACTGGGCTGAGCTTCCCATTTACACAAATATACCTCCCTGAATCTCTCACTGGAATCGCAGCTTGAAAACCACGAAGAAATTGCAAGATCTGAGGCATTAAACACTTGTATTATTCCAACCAAATATATATAAACTTCAACCAACACTATTGTTCTTGTCAGCTGTCATTTACCTGAAGACTTATAAATGAGCGAGGTAGTATTGCTGGAGCAATTAAAGCCTGCAACTCTTCGCTAATTTTTAAATTCTGGACACTGATCTGCCAAAAACAGCTTGCAACATCCACATATCTCACAACTATAATACTTCAAAAGTGTTCACAAAGCGTTTAAAGATGCAGATATTAGAGTTTAAAATGCAAATAAATATCTCTAATAATCAGCCAACCGGCCAACTTGAACTTAGTTTAATTGGCTGAAACATATATCCTCGACCTAAGAAGCATGAATATGTACACAGGACACGGATGTCGGTGACATATCATTGTTAAAAAATCTAGGACATAGACATGGCTAGGACATGTATATTAAATTATACCATTTTTTAAATACATATCATTTTTATATATCATAAGAAATTCAAAGCTTGGGCATTTGTATGCTTAAAAAAATGAGTTTCATATATTTTTCTATCAAAATTATTATTTTATTGTATATTACTATTTATATCTATTTATTGTTATTAACAAATGTTTGATACGTCTTTAACAAGTGTCATATTCACTTCTTACTTAAGATAGTGTCATATTCACTTCTTACTTAAAGACACACGTTCTATGGCCTAATAAGTGTTGGAGTGTTCGTCACATAGTGTATATTCACATGGTGGTTCAAACCAAAAGAAAAACAAAGCAACACCAGATGCAAAAACTGACCTCCTCAAATTCAAGGTAGATATTACGTATAGAAACAACAGAAAATTTTGCAGAAACAATCAGAGTTGCTCCTTCCTGTTCCTGAAAAGCCAAAAATAAAGAGTTACTCTATAGAATACCAAAAGACTAATTAGATTCTCACTTTTTTTTCTTGTTCCATGAGGGTATTCTTTCATATATATATATATATATATATATATTTTCCCTCTCTCAATGAAAGGTTTTTCATTAAACAAAAAAAAAAATCTATGAGGGTAAGACAGCATATTAATAAACCTATCTGATGAATGTACTAGGTCCATTGTAAGTTAGTAAAATGACAGTGGCCACAATAATCAATCTATTTCACAAATGTACTAGGTCGATCATTAGTAGGTTTGTTTAACAACAGTGGCTTGAATTGGAAACAAATGGAAATGAGCTGACACCGAAGAGCTCAGTCAAGCTTATAACTGCAATGCAATTCATGATTGCCATACATTGTTTATGGTATACCTCTAACAGTGATGGGATGCTCCAGCGAACGACATTTCGAACAATTCCTTCATTAGAACTGTCACAACATTCAAATTTCTGGAAGATTTGCCCAACCTACTGGTGAAGCCATGAGTCAGGTGTAGCCAAATGACACAAATAGACAATGTAAAATACAAGTATAGCAATGTTATTTTGCACTTTCAGTAGGAAACGAAAACCATAACAAAAAGAAAGCAACAAATTTAGAGAGAGAGAAAATAGACAAGATTACACTAAACACAAATCCTCAGATGATCAAGACTCACCAAGCTGGATGTTAGTAAACCTCCCCTCACAGACTACTAAGATGATTATTGGATGGAAGTTGAGGGAAGTAGATTCAGGTCTAAAAAAAACAATGTATTGTTCAGAGATTTAGAAGTTCAAGACGTTAGAACCTGAAAGAAAGGAAGCCTGGATGCAGCTTCTAGAAGAATAAGAACATCAGGAGCGGAAGTATACTGTAGTCGCCATGTGCCATCCAACTTCACCAGGTCAATAGGGAGACCCATGTTATATGCCTCTACATTGACCTACATCCATTACTTGAAACCAACGTGAAATCACACTGAAGTCACCTTCAGAAAAATTGCACTCACTAGGCTGAAGTATTATGAACAGAATAAAAGAGAGATAAATAGAGCATACCAGAGCCTCCTCTATGACAGAACGCTGATCGGGTGATGAGACAAGGCCCCGTTGAGTTTCTTGAACGGCGACCAGAAGATCGTTCTTTTTGGTTTCCAACCCGTTGTTATCTGTCTGGTAAAATACCATGAGCAGGGTGAAGTGAACAATAGGAAGCTAAAAGGAAAGGGAGAAATTATTGTAATAACAAGCAGAAGAAACCTGAGTTGTTTGGCTCACAACAGTTGCTAAACATCGAAATACTTTCCGATAAGACTCTTCTCTACGCACTGTGCAAAAGCGGTTATATCCATTTAAGGCTCCCTTTTTAGTTGAAGGATACACTGGGGAGACGAATGGCAAATCCATTTCTGACAATTGGGGAACTCATTTTAAGTCTTTCAAATTTACAAAGACAAATGATCACACGAGAATTCAGAAATAAAAGTTCTTGTGATCGAAGCAGAGAAAGACGTTATTGAATTCATGAAGCAATTTAACTAAAACCCCTTCCTAAACAATCTATGAACCATCATGATTCGGGGGTTAATAGATAGTTCAAAAGTTGAAGAGCCAGAGTTCAAATTTCAGGATTTTTTCACTGCCCTAACATTTCATTGAAACGTTCATTATCATTGCAACTGTGCAATCCCTACAGAACTAGTGGTTGTATACAATTCTTCCTGGAAGGATTTCCAAATTGGAAATTGAAGTTTTTAACGTTAAACAAAAATCACAAATGCATACAATTCCTCCCGGAATGATTGCCAGTAACAAATAAACATTACATGGTTCATCGAAAGAGAATACCAGACTTCCAAATAAAGAAAATTCAGCAAGGAGTTACGCCAGTGGTTGAAAATCACATCTCATAAATCGTAACCACAAATACACACATTGAAGGCAAAAGAAAATGGGGAAACTTATAATCAAACCTGAAAGACCTAATAAAACTTCACCGCTCCTGCCTAACGATGAAGATTTCGATTTACTTCTTCTATTTTTCTATTAAGAAAGAAAATTAATTTTATTATTCCTCGTTGGTACTGACGGAGGGCGACGATAATGGCTTTTCATGGAAAGATTGTCAGAGGTACAGAGGAGAGAAGATAAGATATGAAAAGGTTCGTGGTCCGGTTCGAATCGGTTCGGTTTATCAGCTGAACCGAAATCGATCTATCAGTTTTAGAGGTTGAAAATTATAGTAGTCCGCGGTCGATTTCAATCCAAACCAACCAACTGATAGAATATTGTATGGTAAAATACATTTTTAGTCACTGAATTTTGTGATAGGTTTCCATTCGATCCCTGAATTAGTCCATGATCGAAAATAATTCTAAAAGGTCTATGAGTTAAACATCCGTTAGTAACACTAATGGAATGCTAATTTGGCTTGATGAGTAAAAGTTACTCAATATTGTTCATAATTTTTTAGGATTTATTCCATTTTATATTTAGTGACCTTATTGTCAAAGTTTTAAATATTGAAGTAGAAATGTCTGGATATCAAATTTATGGTTTCTTATAAACATTAAAGAAAATTTTGCAATGACAATATAAATATTTATAAAATGTTTATTTAAATGGATATTTCTATTACAAATTATATAAAAAAAATGGCAAAAAAATATTAAAATTAACAAACACCTGTTATATCTAAATAAGTTAAAACCTTCTCGCTCTATAGCGGGATTTTTTTAATGCATATTGAATGAAAATAATAAAGAAATATTTATGTTTATATATTGTTTGATTAATATTAATACTATGTATATATTAATTAAATATTGTAAACATTTTTTCATGTTTTATCAATTTTTTTGTAATATCATGAATATATTAATTTGCCTCTAATATTGACGTAGAAATATCGACCGACTGACATTTAAGTAATTAGATATCAAGAATTTGAAAATAACGAAGAAATGAATGTTGTTATTGTGGCAAGTACCAATAATAATAGGGATCAGAAAAACTCTAGGTTCTCTCCTCTCTATTCCTCTCTATTCCTCTCTCGACTCTCCTTGCTCTTTACAATTTTGTGTCGAAGCTGATCAATCAAATGGATCAGTTGATCTATCGACGTAAACTTGACGTCAACTGATTGTTGAACATTTCTAATTTT